GGCGCCGAGCCTATTTGTTTATTTGTTTATTTATTTAGTTAGTTGTTGAAACAGAGTCCCACCCTATGCCCTGAACAGAGTGTAGTGGCATCATAGTGCATTGCAACTTCAGGCTGGGGCTGTGGGCATCCTGCTGCCTCAGCCTCCAGAAGCCACTGGGATTATAGGTACTTGCCAGGTGCCTGGTTGGTTGGTTGTTTGGTTTGTTTGTTTTTAATGAGTTAGGGTTTCACTCTTGCTCAGGCAAGTCTCCAACTCCTGAGCTCAAGCAATTCTCCCTCCTCAGCCTCCCACAGTGCTGGGATTATAGGCGTGAGCCACCGTGCCCAACTACAGTCCCTATTTAAACCTCTTTCCTTGTGCCAGGGAACACAGACCCATAGAGAGGCATGACCTCCCAAGGCATAACCTCACATAGCAAGGCAGTGGCAGCACCCAGGTCCCCAGAGGGGACCCGCACACAATGTTCAGCATTCAGTAAGTGCCCAACACTGGCTAGCAGTTGTTACAGTCTCAGAAAGAGAGAGACACAGGTTCCAAACCCCAGAGAACCAAGGAGGAGCTGGCTAGCTCCATTTTCAATGTTGGCACAAATGTCTCCTCTTCCAAGCTTTTCCTGACCACTCTGGCTAATGTAAGCCCTCCCATATCCCCAGTTATGCTGTATCACCCCTTTATTTCCACCACAGAGTTGTGATTCATGCTCTATGTTTCCCATGAGTATTTATTTGTTGACTTCTTTCCTGTGTGATCAGCCTCCTCCCTATTTAAGGTACAAAGGGGCAGGTCTTTGCATCACTGATTACTGTATCCCCAGCATCTAGGACACTGCCTGGTATACAACAAATGCTCTCTAATTATTTGCTGAATGAACTGTGTTTTATCTGCCAACAATGAAGATTATCAGAAGACAAGACTCCAGTGCCTAGAATTCAAGGCATTGCCTGGGGTCCTCAGCAAGACTTGTAGGGCATGTGTGTAGGGCAGGGCCATGGGCACATGGGGGTGGGGAGTGTGTCTTACCGCAGCCTGATTAGTTTGCTGGTAGAACGCCTGTCCAAAGACAGCCATGACAAAGAGGTTGATGATGAAGGAGACAGATAGGGCGATGGTGGCTTCAATCAGGAAGTACATGTTGGCTTCTTGGATGTCTATTCGGCGGGTCCGGTCTATCTCTCGAGACTATGAAGGTCAAAGGGGGAGGAAAGAGCCAAAGTTCCTTAGGACCACCACAGTATTCCAAATTTTCACACTTTCGTCTATGTTTTGCCCAAACCCCAGTACCTTCTAAAGTACCCTGGTCAGCTGACCTATCCTGCATCTCTGCTTTTGCCACAAAGGCCTGATCATAGCTTACTGCAGCCTCCAATTCCTAGGCTTGAGGGATCCTCTGCCTCAACCTTCCAAATCGCTGGGACTATAGGCCCACACCACTGCGTCAGCTACTTATTCATTTAGTGAAGGAGTATTGCTTTGCATAGTAGTAGGCTTCAGTCTATAGTTCTAGCTACCTGTGCAACTAAGATGAGAGGATTGTTTGAGGCCAGCCTGGGCAATATAGCAAGATCCCTTCTCTAATAAGTACATTTTTTAAATTATTATTTGTAGAGAGACAGAGTCTCACTATGTCACCCTGGCTGGAGTACAGTGGTGCAGTTATAGCTCACTGCAGCCACAAATTCTTGGGCTCAGGTGATCCTCCTGCTTCAGCTTCACAAGTAGCTAGGACTACCACTGCATGCAACCATGCTGGCTAATTTTTTAATTTTTTGTAAAGACAGAGTCTCTATGTGCTTCCCAGGCTGATCTCCAACTTCTGGCCTCAAGTGATCCTCCTGCCTCAGCCTTTTAAAGTGCTGGGATTATAGATGTGAGCCACCACACTACATTTCTAATAATATATATATATAAAAATATAATCATATATGTATCATATAATTATATATGTATAATATATAATATATAAAATTATATATTATATAAATAGATGTACACAATATATATAATTATATGTGTACATATATATATAATGCCCCTATGTCCTACCCCTAGGGGATTATTTTAATATTACACATATATAATTTTATATATATATATATAT